CTCATCTACAGGATCCTCTATGAATGGACACGCCATTTTGATCTCTGCGTGACGGAAACGTGTGCAATCTATGAATGTACTGAAAGATTAAATGAGGTATTAAACACCTTTCACTTTAAAAAGGGGTGGAGACCCAGAGGAAACTCTGAGTTTCCTGAACAAAACCTGCTCGCCAGCAGGTTAGGTTCACAGAGTAATTTAGTAACTGACTCTGAGTTTAGATTACCTCTCTTTGTGAAACGGGTTTAACTTACCCCGCTTCACGGGTTTAAGTTACCTCCGTTTCTGAAACCGAAAACTCCGAGTTGCCCTCATTTCGGGGTTAACAAACTCTGAGTTCCGACAAAACCGCCTTCTTGAAATAGGCCCCTGGTTTCTTGTGTACACATAAACATGCGGGTGGTCTCATCATCTGACTGCTTGTTTTTCTGACTTCTTTGCAGTGATCCTCCTTCTGCCAAGATCTCTGTAGTAACATGCTGAGGTGGCCTTTCATATTTACAGAGAAGGGTGAAAGTAGCACAGGTAGTTACAAAAACAAACTGTCAACATCAAATTTCAGCTCGGCTATGCAAGGGGCAAAATGGACTGATTTGTAATACTTCACTTCAGGGGACAGAGTCTGGGGCGAGCAGAAAACGAAGTATGATGATGGTTATTTAAAGTCTGGATTTTCATGGACTGGTCCTGAGGATGCTCCACTCTCACAGTGTTATTTGAAAGGCAGTATTAACTAATGACCGTATAAACTCTGGTGTCATAGTGAGGCCAACCCAAGTTTGGTGACCAAGACACAGGAGTTAATTGATAGGAAGATAGAGGAATTGCAGTCACAGAAAAAAGTAACTGATGCAGGGCTGTGAATACTGAAGCATCAGATTGTGTTGCATTACACACAGCTAAGGCAGTTATATAGAATACGCACCACCTGGAGACAGTGATATGAAAGGCAGCGCTGAGTCCGATTTCAGTTTGTGATTGGACTGTGGAGGGTTGACTGGTGAATAATTTTAAGTAAGAGAAGCCCATAGTTTAAGCGTGAATGTAGGATACAGATTTTTATTTTTTAAGAAATCAATGTGTAATAGTCCTTGAGAGTGGAATTGTGTTCCAAAAGTGTTTGCTTGAAAGAGGCTCACCTCCACACACTCCCAAATCCTTGCCGTTTAGTATGAATATTAACTTACCAGGCTCATTGGTCATGGCAGACCAGGTCAGGTACATGGTGTACAGGGTAACCAGGGAGGACTGCAGCAGGCCAGACCTGGGCTGGGAGTCCTTCACACAGAGAAGAGCAGGCATTAGCAGGAAAATAAACCTGATCCCAACACAATCAACCAAAGGTATTCAGCTCATACTGTCTATGCTGAGCCTCCTGGAACAATTGGTAAATTACCTGCTAACAGCAGTGTGTATATGAGCAAATTCTAAATTATATTAGGCACAGGTCTTTCTATTTAGCACCTGAATGTACACTCCATAACTGTCCACAGCAAAGCTTAGGAAACCTTGTGAGGGAGCTCATGGTTTATTTCCCTGTCCTGCTCAAACATGAATGTAAAAGAGAAGTGGTGTGAACCTGGATCTGAGGCAGGATGGACATGACCGAGGCAGCGACGCAGAGCAGCATGTTGATGCTGATGAAGACCTTGTTCTCAGTGCAGCCGTCAGTGTGTGTGTAGTAGACATAGAACATGACCAGCGACACCAGAGACAAGAAGTAGTTCACTGCTGTGACCGACAGCAGAGCTGCAAACATAAACCACAACGTCATTCATATACACAACCACAACTTCGTGTGTGTGTATAAATATGTAAAAGACCTTTTATCAAGTTATTAAAAATGTACCATTATTAATTAGGTTGTTTATGGGATGCCTTTTACCTGAATGCTATGAGACATTTTCATTGTTATTCACGTCGGTGCTAACGACACCTAACTTTGCCAGTCAGAGGTCGCTGTAAGTAATGTTGAGTCGGTATGTAACTTCACCAAAACAACGTTGGACAAGTTGTTTCATTACGAAACCCCAGACCTGACTATGTTGCCCCAAAGGCTCTGGGCCTCCATAATTTCCTGAAGTTAGCACAAGTCAGAGCCAACTGTGCATGCGCAAGATCTTGCACGAGCTTTCAGCTTTAGTTACAATCTACTAGCTCGTCACACTTGGATCTGGGGTTTGCTAATGAAGAAACATGTCCATCATAGTACAGAAACTGCAGTGGTGAAAGTCACCAACAATCTGCTGCTAGCCTCAGACAAACGACTTGTCTCTAAACTTGTCCCCTTCCTGATTTCCTTTTTTTTTTTTTGTTTGTTGCGTCATGATGCATTTCTGCTCTCTCTTCCATTACCCAATAAACAACTGACTTCACTGTGCTGTTTAGCTGACTGTACTAACGCAGATATTTCAAATTTTCTGGGGGAAAGTACGTCCAACTCTGGTATAAATTACTAAAAGATTTGTCTTGGGAAGACAAGCCGTCCCTGGTAGGCTAGTGGTTAAGGTGCAGCGCTCTCACCGAAAGTGACTTTCTTTCTTTTGTCTTGGGAAAACTGAAGTAAAGGAGTACAAGTACAGTATATTGAGAAGCATGAGAATCCACACTTTGCCACAGCTATCCTATAAGTAACACACAGCATAGTAAGACACAGCAAAGAACTACACATTTTAAAAAGAACTACCATGTTCAGTAGAATTGATATAAGAGATGATGTTTTAGCTTGAGGTATTTTTTTATTTTTGTGGATTTCTGGTTGGAACTAGCGAGCTGTGATTATTTTGGTGGATTCTATGGAGCATTTTATGCGCGTAGCTGTGAAAAACAGACTTGAAGCTAAAAACAGGATTCAGGTTGCACTTGAAGAATCATTATATGCCAACTGACACATGGGCAGTGTAGACAGCTGGACTAATTAATAGAGCAGTTTCTCAGTTGCATGACATGTCTCAAAGATGTGACTGCACCCACTCAAATCATGACTCTAGTTGTAAATAAGGATCAGAATTGGATCAGCTTTATTATGGCAGATACCAGTCCTGTGAAATATGCCCAGATTGGTGATGCTGATACTTTGTATAGGATAATTTATACCCATCACATAACACAGAACAGCTACACCACAGCTGATAAGATGTAAATAACCCAGAGCTCTTTCAAAGTTATTTAAAAAGAATCTTTTCAGCCACTGTCATCATACCTGCATACCAGCAGCGAGAGTTGCCCTCCTCCATCTTCTCCACCCAAGATTCATTCCAGGAATGTGCAAAATCAATGAGTAAAACCAGCTGGATGAGGATGAAGCAGAAGGCTCCAGCCATGCCAACATAGAACCACACTGTGTAACACAAAGAGACAGAACTATACTACACTGCCACAATATCTGCAGCATTTTTACAGCCAAAACTTAAGACATTTAATGACCTTCTTACTGCCATTTCAAACTAAGAAACAAAAAAGAAAAAAAAATGAGTACACCAATCTATCTAAATCAGTTCTGTGGCAACCAGGTTGGGCGGCAATAGTTTATCATCAGCGGTAAAGACCACTAGTCTCGAGATGTACTGATTTATGTATTCAGATGAACTAAAGCTCTAAATGCTTCTTAAAGTTCCCCTCATCAAGTGTCCACTAGGACTCAAGATGAACTGGTTAGATTTTGGCGATCAAAGGTAAAGGTCAGAGTGACCTCAATTCTGTCCCATACCCATGAATTTCACTGGCTGGTGGAAGTACACAACTACAAAGGGGTCATTCTAGTTTTTCCCCATATAGGGTTTTTTGGAGAGCTTTTCCTTATCTAATTCAAGGGTGTAAGGACAGAGGGTATCTACAGTCCTGCTTTATGTCAGAGGTACAGACACATGCCAGTTACTTTGGATTTAATGTGATTTCATAGTTACCAGTAGTGAAGGGACCTTCTGAGATGAAGAATGATCCAATAGTGATGCCTGCAGCTGCAACAAACTTAAAGAACCAAAACCTGAAAGTCATCAAAAAGAAAAAAAAATTGGTTCCCTGAAATTCACTTCCAACAATTTAACAATTTCAGAATGAAATTTAGTGACTAGTTGATCATCAGATATTTAATCATAAACCATTTTATTAACAGGTTAATAACTGGTTGGTAGCAGAAAAGGCCCTGAAAAACAGAAAGCCACTGGGTAAACCCAATGGCTTTCTGTAAGTAAGCATGCCCTTACTAACACAATCACATAACAGCAGGTCAAATTAGCTGATTTTTAAAAAATATGATAAACATAAATGCTGGTATCAATGTTTGTTTTGTGGATTAACACAAAATAGTGGCAGCATCATTTGTTTGTATAATACAAGTCCAGTAAAGTGTTAGTAAATCTGGAATGTATTCCCTAGCAGACAGGAGGATGTGGATGGATGAATGTAGACTCACCCGTTGTGCAGTGCAGCTCGGGGATCCTGGCTGTTTTTGACTTTGATCATGAGCAAAGAGAAGAGCAGGAAGAACATGGCCATTCCAAAGCAAACACGGTACACAGCCTTGTAGCCAACCAGCACATCACAGTTCACGTGACCCTCCATGCCAGGAAAAGACGAACCCATCCCATTTTCACAGAAACCTGGAATCTACAAGAGCACACACACAGCAAAGGTTTCTGACTGTGGTTGTACCATCACACAAGTCTTAAGAGTAACGGTTACAACAAAACAGAGACACCAGTGTGCAAATTTGATCACTGCAACAGGAAATAGTCCAAGATATTGTAAACAAGAGCTGGATACAAATGCTGATTTTTGCAATTAATCGCAATTTTTATTTGAACAATCCAATACTGATTCTTAAAATCCTGAGTTCAATTTTTCTCAGTAACTACTGATATTCACAGTCATCACTGTGATCGGTCAGCTGTGTGGAGGTGCGAGAGGAGGACGCTTCACCCTAGTGTGGGCTTACGGTGATTGGCGATCATATCAGATATGAATGACAAACACTGATTGATTTTTCAATAGGGGACCCCATTAATCAGCTGGAGTAACTCTGCTCATTTACTGTATTTTATAAGCAACCTGTTTGAACTCCCTTTTCCATTTGACAATCCTGACTGGCACACATTGCAATCTGACTGCCACTACTGCTTCATTCTAGCCAGTTTGTGTGTGTTTGTGTCCAGGCCCGTGAAATGTGTGTAATCTCAGCTCTTTTCATTACTTCACTTTCTGTAACTGCTGTTGTGCTGTTCCTGTGATGCCACGTCACCGAGGTTAGATGTTAGGATAAGTGTTAGGTTCAGGGTAAAGTATAAGGGGAAACATATCTTGATAGGAGAAACAAACTTTGTTAAATAGTGTAGAGGTTTTATTGTTTTGCTCATTTGTTTGACATGTGTAAACCTAATATACATATATTTATATATTATGATGGCGGAGTGTGTGCACGCAGTGGACCGGGGGCCTCGGCTCCAAACAAAATTTCGTTGTACGTGTCACAATGTTACAATGACAATAAAATAAACTGTCTTCTTCTTCTTATATTACAATGTGCTCTCTCTAATGTGTATATTTATTAGGGGTGCACCGAAATTTCGGCCACCGAAAATTTTCGGCCGAAAAGGCCATTTTTATTTCGGGCCGGAATAAAAAAAAAAACTCGCCGAAAATGCCCCAAGATATTGTGTAGCACTGCTAGCTACCTAGGCTATGTTGTTTACAGTTTGTTTGGAAGTTCTATTGCTGTTTTTGCACTGTTTTGCATTGTTTTGCACAGCAATTTAAAATGTTTGAGTGTTACATAAAACTTGAATAATATTATTTGGTATTGTTAAAAATATTTTAGATTTTCATTTCAGATTCATCAAATTCAAGTAATTATATATATATATACAGTGGTGTGAAAAAGTATTTGCCCCCTTACTGATTTCTTATCTTTTTGCATGTTTGTCACACTGTAATGTTTCAGATCGTCAAAATTCAAGTAATTATATATACACACACACACACACACACACACACACAATTATAGAGTAAGCGTGTTTTAAAAATTTGAAGTTTTTAAAAGAAGCCATTTTCGGTTTCGTTTCGGTTTTCGGCCAAATGCATCCTAAATTTTAGATTTCGGCCCAGAATTTTCATTTCGGTGCATCACTAATATTTATTGCATGTCATCTTAATGTTCTATTGCTTATTTGATTTTATCCTTTTGAATTTACTTTTTTTTTTAAATGTCCTCTGAAGTGCACCATTGTTGGTTGAGCACCCACAATTTCATTGTGCTTCTACTGTGCAATGACAAAGTCTATTCTATTCTATTCTTGGTAAGGCGGCTACTCTCCATAGAAGTGGGTGCCCAGCCAAGATCACTTCAAAGGCACAACGCAGAACGCTCAGGCAGGTAAAAAACAATCCCAGAGTAACAGCTAGAGACTTGAAGGATTCACTGAAGTTAGTTAACATCTCTGTTCATGAGTCAACCATACACAAAATATTGAACAGGCATGTTCTCCATGGCAGGACACCACAAAGGAACCCATTTCTCTCCAAAAACAACACTCCAGCATGCCTGAGGTTTGCCAAAGACCACCTTGACACTCCACAACACTACTTAGAACATGTCCTGTGGACAGATGAAACTAAGGTGGAATTGTTTGAGAAGAACACACAGCACTATGTATGGTGTAAAAAGAGAACTGCCGTCCACATGAATGCCACACAATACAAGTGAAATATAAGTCCTAGGTTTATCCAGGTATTCTACAGGATAATGTCAGGGTGGCTGTCTGCAAGCTGAAGCTCAGAACAAGCTGGGTGATGCGGCAGGACAAGGACCCTAAACATCAAAGTAAACCTACTACAGAATGGGTTTGGCGACACAAAGTCCACCTTTTGGAGTGGCCCAGTCAGCCCAGACCTCAACACAATTAAGATGCTGTGGAATGACCTCAAGAGAATCATTCACACCAGACATCCTAAGAATATGGCTGAGCTCAAGCAGTTCTGTGAGGAAGAATGGTCCAGAATTCCTCCCGAACATTGTGCAGGTCTAATCCATAGCTACAGGAAACGCTTGCTGGGGGTTACTGCTGCCAAAGGTGGTTCAGCCAGTTATTTAAACACTGATACCATTAGTTTTTCCTACCATGTTTTCTACCACATGAAAGTTCACGACTGTTTATTTCTAAGCTGATAAAACACATTGCATTTGTGACTTTGGTGAAGATCATTTGGCTTCTAATACAAAGCTTCATGAACACAGGATCATAAATGAACACATAACAAAAAAGAAAAAAAGACTTTCTCCTGTAGCTTATTCATAATAAAAAGTCATTACAATCCACCACATTAGTCGGCCTACAGACAGGAGGTTGAAGAGCTGGCCCAGTTGTGTGGTCGCAACACCTGGAGCTGAACATGCTCAAAACAGTGAAGATGACAGTGGGCTTCAGGAGGGCAGTTTCTTCCCCTGGGCCATCACTCTGTTGAACAGTTAACTATGACTGAAGCAACAGGACTCACCACCACAGTGCAATAATGGTCAAGGTCAAGGTGTTTATTCGTCGTATGCACAGTTAGGAAACGTGTTTCCCTGCACAATGAAATTCTTACTCCACATGATTACCACACAATACAAATGAAATATAAAGTAGATAAATAAGTAACACAAAATCTAAGGCACTTTAAGCAGAAAATGAAGAGATATAATAAAAATATAATAGAGAATGTATGCTGCATGGGAGCAGCATGTGCAGCAGTCAACAGTCCACGTGCAATTATGCATGTGCAAACTGAGAATGTAAACAGTACATGATGTATTTCCTGGTAATAAACTCCTCAGCTGTTTATGAGTCTGATGGCAGAGGGAAAGAAAGAGTTTTTCAGTCTAGTGGTCCTGCATTTCACACTTCTGAACCTCCGGCCAGAGGGCAGAGAAGTGAACAGTTCGTGCTGGGGATGGGTGGGATCTTTGAGGAGGGAGGCAGCTTTCCTACGTACCCTGCGGTGGTAAATGCTCTGCAGAGAGGGCAGTGGAGTCCTGGTGATCTTCTCTGCAGTCTTTACCACTCTCTGCAGGCGCTTGCAGTCCATAGCAGTAGTGCTGCCATACCAGACAGTGATGCAGCTGGTCAAGATGCTCTCAATGATGCAGCTGTAGAAGTTGCAAAGGATCCTAGGCGACATGCCAAACCTCCTCAGCCTCCTCAGGAAGTACAGCTACTGTTGGGCCTTCTTGACCAGCTGTGTGGTGTTA